GCCGCTGGATGCTGTGCTGCACTGATTGCCTAGCACTTCTTTTGAGCTAGCAATGAACCTTTTTACATGCAGACAGGCCGCTCGTGGAACTTCTCCATGTAGACATTGGTGTCGTCCAAGTCTGGGTTTTAGCAGCAACTGGGTTTGTGGAGTGCAAATCATCGCAGTGCATCCCTTGCCCAGGAGATCAAGATCGCCGCAGATCAACTGCTACACATCATTTCGAAGGGTAAGGCAAGTTCCGAACACTTGGTGGAAGCCGAACACTCGGGTTTGGTGGATACCGTAAGGTACACAGCTCTGGCCAGGAAAGCCAAGAGTTCAGTTCGTTTTGCGGAAATTGTGTAGGTGCCGTTCCTCAACCTTGCAAGCTTTAGTCAACTTTATTCAATTCAGAGGCTGCTTTCACTTCAAATTCAGAAGTGTCAAGGACAAAGGGTTCTCAGATGTGTGTGAGTCGATAGTGCCCTGGTGTTCCTACTTTCCTGCTTGGCACCGGCTCCTTTTAGAGTACAACATGGATGTGATTTGGGAGGAATTGCCAATCCTTCAAACTCATTTGAAGGAACTAGGTCTTCCATGGCAAAAAAAATGGATTAGTCCGTGATTTGAGCAATGCTGCACATTCATTGGTTCAGTTGATGGCTCCTTCGAATCCTTGGTCTCGGTATAAAGCACTTGTGTTTACGGGCTGCCACTGGTCAGGGGCTTGAGAACTCACTCCCTCCATCTATTCACCTTGCAAGTCGTTGCCATTTTTCCCACAAGTATGGAGAAGCATTCTTGCTAGACAAGATGATGTCCCTTCCATACTCTCAAGAAGGACCACTAAGTTGATGCCATACCATGATGCCGGGATCGCGCCCAGAAAGGCCTTGCGATTCCCGAAACGTGAAAGGCCAATTCCCTCGTGTCACATGGAGTGGAGCCTGTTCTCTATTGGACTGCGAGGTCGGCCTTGCTTACAAGAAACGCCCTCCCCGACGTCCGACGGGGAGCTTCACGCCTGTGTCCGTGCTCACGCGATCACGCCAGGAGCTGGTGAGCTTCGAAGAACTTCAAGAGTTTTTCTCCAGGTGCCACAGCCGAGAGCGTCGCTTTTTTAGAGCGTCTTCGAGACGTGGAACTGCAGTCCGAAAACGAGACGTGGAACTGTTCTTAGCAATTGTTGTTGCCTGGCAAATACACCAACGGTGATGCTGCAGATGTTTTCCAACATGTTCAAGTGCAGGGCCAGCATCCAGCGGTTCATGAAACTATCGAGTTCAGCCGGAGCAGCCAAGGGCAGAAGAGTCAGATGCAAATCTTTACTCTGACACTCACTCAGTTTGAAGATGAATCCGCAGAAAAGAATCTTCAGCAAAGACCGCAAGCTAAATCAGCATCAATCAGCCAAATCCTAACCCACGTGCGCTGCTTTTGGATTGTTTGGATATGTTTGGATGCAACGACATGCCGAGCCCCCCCCTTTTTTTCTTGCATTATCCCGCCAGGGACAGAGGCGAACGGGCTCATAAGGTTGGGCCAGGGCCTGGCTTTTGGTCCGATATGCGCGCCAAAAGCGGTTGTTTCGACGAAAGGCAAACTCTTTGAACATCTTGAATCTTCACAAGTGACACTTGAGATAGGTCAATATGAAGGTCCAAACTGAAGATCACAAAACAGGCCTGTATAGTTTCATAGTCAAAACTGTTTCGCTCCGTGTTTCTCATCCGTTTTTCGCTCCGTGTTTCTCGGCCCGGATCGTAAGGTGTCCGGATACGGTATCCGTTGGATTTCTCATCGGCCCGAGCTCGGATCGATGTGATAGCGATATGGCAAGAGAAAGATTGGAGTTATCCTTGGAGTGTCAATATGTTGGCTTCAAGCAGATTTGTTTTGTAAGACAAGCTGCCTCTCTTGTTATGTTGAAGTAATATGCTAGCAGTTTTTGTTGATCATCGCATCACCAGCGTGTCTTATTTTAGGAGAGCTTTGTGATTGACAATGTGTGTTTTCTGATGTGCTGTGTAAATATGTACTGTATTGAATCTGAAGTGAGATTATTTGCGACGAACTCATCAACTTTTATCACCCATCTATATAGGCACTTCAGCAAGTTAGCTCAAACTTTGTTTTGTGACATCAATCATCACAACCGTCGTTTGGGTTCACCGCTATTCACCGCGTTTCCCTCCTCCCGGGTCGTGTTTTCATGCGACCCACACGGTGGGTCACCGCTATTCACCGCGGTCCGCGCCGTCGCAGGGGCAGGTGGTCTTATGCCTGAATGAGCTGACCAAGCCCGTCTCCAAACCGAAAGCCCGGCCTGCCCGGAACCAGTTCACGCGGTGAGCTTCACGAGCGATCATGCGCAGTGCAGCAGATCATCCGGCGGTGATGTGTTGGTCCATTCACATGGAGCGTTCAAGAACCTGTGGTACTATATGTTTCACAGGGTGTTCTTTTGATTGCGAAGAAGTCTTGGCTTGGCAGATTTGCTGCACAGAAGGCATCAGAACCAACAAATGAAGGATTGCAGCAGAAAAAGAAAACGAGACATCAATCGACTCAGGTGAAGGACATTTGGAATGAATTGAAGAAGTCCATTGACGAGAGCAAGTCCTACAACAGGAGAGGGCGAATCATGTGCCCGACAATCACTAGGTTCCTGATTTCTTGTTTGTCCTTTTTTTTTTCACCTTTTCTAGCACCACCCACGTTGGTTTAGCCGTGGTTTCTGAAGAAATGGACCTTTGACATCCCGTGACTAAAGGGTCACGAACATCGTGTAGTCAGTGGAGTTCGCTGTAATTACCTCATCCACTTAAGTTGTTCCCTGCACCTTAAGTGTGTTGCGCAGCGCAGTGCACGTCGATGTCTGCACGTGCCAGTAGCACGATTTCTGCAAGCACGTTGCAGCTCTACTGGGTACGGACGCTGGAGAACTACAATGAAGCGAAGAAGTTGTGGAAGGAACTTTGGAAGGACTGGATTGATAGCTGGTATTGGGGAGAAGACCGGGGACATGACTTTGGATTGGGAATGGGGGCAAGAGCTTCAAGGTGCATCTCTTCACCATGGAAACGGCACACCCTACCTTAGAGTCAGATCAGAAGTGAAGCATGTCCTTTGCCTTGAAGATCTGTTGCTTTCCTCCGTTCGACATGTATTGATGCATCCTTCAAGGAGCCTCCGATGCAAAAGGGGTTTGATTTGACCGTGATGGACTGTATACTGCCACATCCGCATACCCTCTTCGCCCACCTGCCGCCTTCCTCGGCCTCTGCACATCGCCGCGGCGCTCCGCTCCGAGCGCCAGGATTGTCTTGGAGTGTCCTTGGAGCCTCGCTTTCAACAATGGGTCTTGCGAGGTGCGAGAATCGACATTTCTATACATTTCTATTATTTTCTATTGTATAGTAACAAGAAGCTACTAGGTGGAGGCCATCGCTACTACTAGTCACGACGGCTCGTGGTGCGAAAATAGACATCGCCGGGACATCTGTGCCGTTATACAAGAAACAGCACATGCGTCGCAGAGAGATCAATGATATTCGATCTTTGCTCAGGAAAGAACTATAAAGACATTGAACTGGTTTCCATGGTGTGCAATGGTCTAGCTCGCTCCTCTCTCTGGAGCTATATAATCTCCCGATCTCGATGCCCCACCCCCCCGGGCGGAACCGGTTGAACCGCCCGGTTGAAACCACGTGAGATGACACCGCCAGAGGCGAACTTCAGGGGCCCAACTGATCCGCCTTCAGAGACTCAGATGACATGTTTTTACATACACAAAAGATAAAGATGTCAGAACCCCTCTACTGTCATGACATGTTTTTACATACATGTTTATGACGTGCTCTTTACTCAGATGACATGTTTATTTGAGTCTGAAGATAAAGAAATCGGCACCATCGTCATGTTGACTGTTTGTCAGAACCCACGTCCACTGGGGGTTCATTTATTCATCAACTGTCGACATTGGACATTTTTGAGCCCTCCAAAGTGGAACATGGGGCATGACCCTATTGAAAAGCAGGTGCAAACAGGTATAAACAGGTACTTGATGGCACTATCATGGTACTTAGTACTCAATTTTCCCAGGTACGAACAGCGACGATCCGCTGGTCCATCCGCGCTGCGCAGGTGAAACTCCGGCCATCGATATGTGGAGCGATCCAGCCATGTCCACGAGAATGCTCTCGTGGTCGAAGGCTGGAGACTGGTGCTGGTGCTGCATCGCTTGACACGATGATCGCCATGCGGCATGGAACAGCTTTTTGGGGGCTTGACGATGAAGTTGCAAGCATTCTCCATATTCTCCTCTCAGCCGACTTGGAGACCCAAGCTTTCTTCTTCATTGAAGTTGTTGTTTAGCATGTGTATCAGAACCAAAGCTGTTTGTTAAAGTGATACACCCAGGAAGATTAACATGGAACCTGAACATGGACCTTTGGAAGATGATTTTCCTCTCCAACCCAGTGTTTTCAGGTTCACTTTGGATTTTCCAGGGTGTATCAGAGTATCATATCATTTAATATACATGGCTTGATTTTGTAATATGTGTTTCTTTTTGTGTATGGCATTGGCAAAGAAGTTGCCGTTCAACAACGTGTGTGTATGATAGGAAAGGTCAGAATTTTCTCCTGGGTCATTGTATGGAGTCAAGACGCTTCAAGGCATGAAGCACGACGATGACAACACGACCAAGGAAAAGTCAGGATCCAGAATCACCGCTCCGAAGATATACTATGATATAATTAAGCTTCCCAACTTCGAGTGTTTAGTGTTCATGAAGAATGTTTCATGAAGCGTTCAGATTACTGGGGTTCTGTATGTGGCATGGTCCTTCTTAAGTTGCGCCACTTGCCTGGGAGCATACAGATTGTAAGAACCTCCTATTATACCCCAGGAGCCCTTGTGAGCCTTTGTGTTGTTTCTCCAGTTGCTCATATTTGATTTTACAGTGAATGAAAAGACTCATCAAACTTCAATTGTGCAACCGCCTTCATACCTGGGTGGGCAGCTGCCATGCCAACTTTAATGACAACGCACCAGGTCTCCAAGTTGTCCAGGTCTCCAAGTCCAGATTCTGTTCGGCTGTTGCCATTGCTAGTTGCAGGAAGACCCAGAGACCACCGTGCACCTGGACATCGCCATGGATGGCTTGTCGGTGAGGCCAGAGTGACTCACATCGCCCAAAACATCGCCCAGAGAACTCGGCTAGGCCCTGGTGCTGTGCGAGACATCCTGAGACCAAAGAGGTTGGCACTGTTTCTTAAGGCTTAGCCTCAGGAGAACAAGCGACTATAGCAGTGAGTGTTCCTTATGCCAACAAATCTGCACCACGAAGCCCGTCTTGGATGTCACACGAAGAGGGCCCATGAGTACGACATGAAAACCGTTCGCGGCACTTCAAAGGTAGAAGTCAATCAACTTGGAATCTTGGTGCGGGCTATATAGTATATGTTTCCCAAGGATATCTAGGATATATCCTGGTTGGGCCACGGAAATCCAGGGGGGCAAACACTGAATCTACTAGTATGTCCCAAGGTGGACTTTCATCTTGAGAGATCTTTTGCGCTGGCCATACTCCTTATGTCGCCTGGTTTCCACTGCACCGGCCCAGAACCGCCAGGCTGGCGGATACTCAACATGCCAGCTCTGTGCCTCGTGCCAAACTGGACCTCAAGGATGTGTACCTGAAGGTGGGCATCAGGATGGACGGCGGAATACCAAGCCTGAGCCGGGGTGAGCCGGGAGGAAGAAAGATGAAGAAACACATGCTTTTCGAGCCGAGACTTGTTGTCCTTTTGCAGTTTGGGAGTTTCATCCAGCAGTTTGGCCTCAGATGAGACGTATGGGAGTTTCAGGTGTCGCGTTGCGGAGGGTGCCTGTGAACTCTGAGGGTATTGGAATCCGAATCACATCAATGAACACTCCCTTTTACGTCAGGTGTACGGCGATCAGGAGGCTCCCAGGGTCCAGTCTGTTGGCAGTTGACCCTGAGAGGTGAGACCACTGAGTGATGCGGAGTGATTGGTGTTCGAACGACAGCCTTCCCTACTAGGGCTCCTGGCCCACCTCAGAATGTAGACCCCCCCAGACCCACCCCAACCACCGAACCGAAACGGAGGTGGTTGGAGCCCTAGGGATTTATAGAGTTTCAATTTCAATTGCTCGATTTTTGTGGAGAACATATGATATTTGGGATATCTACGGTCCCCTCTGGTAAAGACACATTACAACTGACAGGTATATGGTTCTTGTTGTCACATTCTTCATCCGTGTGTTCGGACAAGAGACACCACGAGACACCTGCAGACGGGGCTCACCCAGCACAAGAGCTGGTGGGAGATTGGCAGAGAATCAACTAATATATATATATATACAATACCATTTGCATGTTTCTTTGTCACCCAATCATGAAGGTCCCAGTTTTTCAGGGTCTTGCAGCAAGACACCCCGACCCCTGCAGCTGCAAGCTCATGTGATCCCTGAAGCTCAGGGCCCTTGATTTCGCTTCAGTGTTCACCGATTTCCACACAGTTCACTGGAGGGGCTACCGTCAGAATTCACCTGACGCCTTGTGCAATCTCCCCAGGGCGGCATTCGTCGCGGGAGCTCGGGCATTGCAGCCTTGGAGTCTGGTTTGAAGGGATCCTTGCAACTGAGCTTCTTGGACTTCCAAATGGTCAACGATTTCGGTCGATGGGCTGGCTCCAAAGAGATTCACATGCACCCGGGAAAACCATTTTTGGGATGTTCTTCCGCTGCCGAGCTAGGTGCTTGTGGGAGAGTGTGAGCAAATGTCAAAACAGCAGACAGGTTCATTGATTCGGGTCCGAAACGGGATTTCTGGTTCAGCTGTGCTTCGGTTCTCGGACCATGCGGAGCATCGAAAGCATCGGGGTTTTGTTCGAAGTGATATGGACCTTAAGTATATTGAATTCATAAATCTTCAAGGAAGCGCATGATCCCCTTTATGTTTGTACCGTTGAACGTTTGAGCTGATCCGCACAGACAGAGCTGTGTTGGACTGCTTGTGCTTTTCTCCAACGTGTAGCGATGATGAGTAAAATGACAGATAATGCACTTTAGCCATACCTGGAGGACCTGGAGTCTCAAAGTAACTTTTTATTGGGCCGTGTCACATGTCCCATTTTCTCAGCTACTTGAAGTCGGGTCCAGGTATTTCATATTTACATGTCAAAACCAACCACCAGAGAATACTAGACCCCAGCTCGACGAAGTTGATCACATTTCTCATCCGTTCTTTGCACCAAAAAAGACGAAAAGGCGGGGGCGGGAGTGTCAGAACCATTCAGATTCTCATAATCTAGATGACTTCGTTTCGGGATGAATGATCCGGCACCAAGTGTTGGATGTTGGATGACTTCATCCAAGATACTCCATGATACTCCCATGAATTAATCAATAATTCGTTCCAACCACACCACCGCGCGGAGGTGCTGAGTATTGGAATCAAAGCCTCGGCATCACCGAGCCCTTCGTGGAGCCCTGGCGATTGCAACTCTCTGCCTCGCCCCACTTGTGCCTCGCCGGAGAGCCCTGGGCGGTGGCCTAACCGGCCGCGGTCGGGCGGGGCGGGCTTCGAACAGGTGCCGGTTGGTTGGGAGGTTTTGGGTATGAGAAAAGGGTAAAGAGTGAAAAAGGCATCAACAACCGTGGTTGACAGGCGGTGGAAACACGTAAGCAAACGCCTGCCAGATGGTGACAGGCATGTGGAAGTCACAGATCTAGTTGTCATATGGGCGGACATGGACTATGAACATCTATGCCATCCATTTGGGGGGCATCCCTTTTTCCCCCCCTGGCTGCTCCGGAATCGCACCCGAGGCTTTGTCTTCGAGCTGAAGAGCATTTAGTGCCTGGAGCTGCACGACCGGGTGGGGAGGATCCCCGTTTTCGCCGCCAAGCTGTGCTGGGCCCGTCTACGTTTGGGGGGAGGTTGATCAAAACCGGTTGGTAGGACTAATAGGACCAGATCTGGTCAGGGGGAAGACGAAACATCACAGCTGGTAGTTCACCCATTTGGTAGTTCACCCATCTTCACTGCCAGGTGATTCGATTTCTTCGATTTGTTAATCGAATTGGGGATGGATGGCGATGGCCCATCCCTCAAAGAGGAGGAATAGGTGAGTCCTGTTGAAACGAGATCACACTTTGCATTCAACTCTTCAATCCAGAAGTTAGTTTGCTGAGTCAGAGCTCGGCCTGTCTAGTCGTGCCATGGTTTCCCAAATGACCAATGCTTGTAGGGATCGTTGTGGATGTACTCTAGATGGTCGATAGGGCTGCCAAAAATGGGTTTTCCTCAACAGTTTTCCAAAATCCTGTGTTGGGTAGGAGAGCTACTAGCTTTGACCTGAGTTCATATGACGGTGGCTTGGGATGTTTTGAACACATGAAACATGTAGGGTTTCCTCATCCTCAAGCCACAGATGACTCCCATCAGTTTATGCAGAAATGTATGTGTTTGTGTGTGTTACTGTAACGGTTTTGGAACAAATCTATAGATGTGAGAGCCAAAGACACAACATGTTTTGTTTGATAAGGGGTTGAAGGTGCTGACTGACAACTTCAAGACATGCCGCTGAAATGGGCGGGAAGGACCTTTGCCAAATTTTCCCCGTAGCGGAAAGACAAGGACGCACCACTTGTTACCTCCCGCCTGCCATAGTCTTAATATGTTCAGGGAAATTGGTTACATTTGCAATATACACTCTCCGTCTAACGTGACTCTTTCGTCGTTATCCTGCCTGCTTAGCTTGTTCGATGGTCTGTTTGGACCTGTGACCTGTTTTCGTACGTACATCCACGGTCCTGGACATATTAGCATCGGCTTGCCTCCAACGGTATATCCTTGAAAAGCACCGAACTTGAGTTCCAACGACCGGCGGTTCAACACCACCAAACACCAAGCTAGGGCCTTTTTGACCAGAAGGTCCGATGTGTTTCTTCTTATATGATCGACATTTAAGAATCACCCATGATGATATTAATTGTCTTTCGAATATTCTGTTCTTTTTCTCCCAAGCAGCTGAGGTGCTAAACCTGACGCCTCCCTTGATCCAAGCCTTGTCAGTGGCATCGAATTCCCTGGCGGACGCCAAGGCGCGTTACACATGCTCAAACAGGATACACACTATAGCGCTCACGCACGCGTCAGCAGTCCTTCCGGTTTTCAGAACGACATGACCAGCAAAGATCGAATGTTTTGGGGTGAATCCTGTGATATGATGATCTTTCAGCTGTTTCCCCGTCTCCACTACCCCATTATTGAACAGAATTTTGATGGTCAATCTCCCAAGCGGAAGCCACATGTCACTGCCAATTGTCTTCAACATCTAGGATACACTGGACCTGGAATCTGAGTATTTCGAGTCTGAGTATTGTATTGCTGTAGCTTAATCACTCAGAACTCGACCGTTATTGTGTCAATGACTGTCAATGTGTTTCTTTGACATTCTCTCTCTCTCTCTCGAGCAGCTTTGGATGCCGGACAGTCGCTTGGGCCCTCTCCTTTTTGCCCCAACACGACAGGACTGGAATTGATGCCTACATTGACCCCCCACCCCCCAGACCACCACATTTCTCAGACAATTGGTGTTTGGTGTCGACCCAGACAGCTCTCCGACGGGCTGCCGAGCCCGTCACGGTCGTGACGTAGGCTGCCACCGTCTCATCCCGCTGCCCAGGACGAAGGTGTCGAGTTGCGACACACGGAGACGCCGGTGGCCGTTTGGGTCGGGGTTGCCGAAGCTCCGCAGCGGAGCGAAGGGAATGGGGAATTGGAGGGACGGGGAATAGGGACATCCAATGGTAGGGGTTGAGAATCCCAGTTCATCATCTCTGGATGGAGTGGATCACAGGGTCCAAGTTGATTGTAGGTTTTTTGGACAAGTGACTGTATATCCCAATCCATCCCAGTTGTTCATCCTGTTTGCTTTTGACAGGCAGTCCATTTGGCCTCCGAGGGTTCTACCCAACATTTGGGCAAAGAAAGCTGAGCATTGCTCAGCCGATCATTTTTTGGGGGGGGAGTATCCCAGCTCCGATCCACCTGTCAGCACTTTATATACTTGGAGGAATCTGTCAAGTTCCTGACCCGGCCCTGATTTTTTCTGATGTGGTGAAGATAGAACATCACAAAGAGATACACAGAGCCTGATCATATCAGAAAGTCGTCAGCCAACCTTTGCTTGACAGATGAAGCTGAGGTGCTACTTGTAGTAGCTGTGTTGGGGGACTCCACCAATGCCACAGTGCCACAAGTCCATCTTCGATATTGGTGCCCGTACCTACGCCTTGCAACGGCGTGCCGATCCGCAACCGATCCGCAGGTCTATAACCGCACCTTGTGCGATGTGCGGGTAGCAGTGCGAAACCCTGAGGGGGAGCGAAGCTTGGCGAAAGTGTGAGGACCAGTATAGGGAGGAGACAATAAATCCTTCCCTCAAAGCAGCATGGGCATGGGGTTTTGCCGGTGAGAGGAGCACAACTGTTGTTTTGGTCCCAACACAAAACTACAAACCCAAGATATTCTTCGACTATCTCATATCTCCCCCAAACGGCTAACCCACAAATCCAATGTAATCAAGAACAAAAACTAGTCACTCTTTGCCAAAGCTTTCTCTTTAAACGTGTATATATATATACATATATATATACATTCTATGCGTCCTCCTGGCCGTATTCAGCGCTCGGTTCAAACGTGTTTGATGGGAAAGGTTTTAGCATGTTTTAGCGTTCAGTCCCAATGGCCGGCCTCACTGGCAAGAGGGCTGCAGGTCGATGGGCAACGACCTAAAGGGTCAGCACAAATCTTTATGTGAGAGAAACTCCTTCATTGAAATCATCCAAAAACCTGCAAAGCGATATAGTGAACCCCCAAAAGCGATGCCTTCAATGCCTTCACAATGCCTTCACAATGTACACTTCAATCATTTGATTCAAATCATTCCGGTACTTCGCTTTGTGTTCGCTTTACATGAAGCGATGCCAAAGCGATACCCCTAAATGATCAAAATGAAAAAACATATGGTCTAGATGAGCGGATCGTATCATTTTCGCAGTGCCTGTGAAGTCTGGCACAGATGAAGAGCTCTAGAAAAAGAACCGCATAGACTAAGGGGGAAGGGAGTGCGGATGTGTCAATGGAAAGTGTTCTCTCTCTCTCTCTGTATGTGTGTCTCTTTTTCTTTATTTCTTTCTTATTTTATTTCTCTCCCACTACCCATATCCATGTGCACGTCATTTGGCTATGTTTTCAAGAGAAATCCTCAAGAAATATAACAAAGGCATCCGCACCCTGTAAAGCGATATAGCGAATTCCCAAAAGCCGAACCAACATTATGGAGTATAACAATTTGTATGATAGGTTTTGGCGATCACTCATATACCTATATATATATATTGCGCATATAATATAGTACACTATAATATATATAATAAGAATTACATCAAATTTGTACAATACAAATAATACAATATGATATCGTAATACAACTATTATCAATATATATATACAATAGTTTATAGTTATAGAGTTCTTAGCAATCAGATTGTCCATATACCAGTGCAGTTTAGTGTACAGAGACAGAACCTGTCCATTTAATCGCCCGACCATGGTCCAACCACTCTCGTCCGGTTTCGGGATCCGGCTTCGAGCGGGCACCCGAGGAAGTGCTCCCGTCTCCATCTCCCGTTGGGGCCTCGGATCGGGGAACGGATCGGGCGTCGGACGGGTTCAGAACCCTATAGCTATTATACCGATTTTCTCGCAGAACAAAGTTTATGTGAAATTTTGTTGTTTTTTGTTTGTTGCGTTTTTGTTTTGGCCCTCTTAAGCAATGTTTATTGATGCTATTCTTCGTTTGTTTTCCTTCCATGGCTACTACTACTACTACGACGACGACGACGACGACTACTACTACTAATTACGGATGTGCACCTGCCCTTGAAATTGAATTCTGTCAAGGATGTTTCTCACACGTGGCACGGGCTGTCTTTTGTTGGTGGGGCCTGCGTAGCATGTTGGACAAACTAAACGGTGTGCCTCCCCACGTGCGCACTTCCAAAAGGTGCGTATCTAAACTCACTTGGCTTGTGACACCTGTGCGACTTGAGAACACTTGACTGAGAAACTCTGGCCACGTGAGCGACATAGAACCCGATCCTAAAGTAGAACTCCGCAAAAGCTCCGCTGCAAACCTTCGTTGCAAGCAAGTGTTGGCAGCTAGCGAAACATCCCACTGCAGAATCAATACCTTCTGGACCGGATGTAAACTGCGCCTTGGGATCCTGCATCCCTGTGCGCGAAGAGGTGTTCTGCACACACACACAATGGGTGTGTGTGAGCGGTGGCGCTGCGCAAAAGAAAAGCAGTGCAGTTTCGCTTCAGAAGAGGACTTGCTAATGGCCTCTGATACTTTGAGCGCGCAGCTCCGGCTTGCCAAGCTCAAGGCTCAAGATGTAGAATTTTTGAATTGTCAGGATCAAAACGCATAAACTGTATGCAAGCTTCTCCTAAACATGCGCGTTGAAATCAGGTAGGGAACGAATCAACCAAGCGACAGCAAGCCTCAGCAAAGCCTCATGAAATGATGATATCAGCTGTTCTTCTACACCCCGCGTGTTGGAGGCCATCGCTCTTAGGTTGGAGGCCGTCGCAAAATTTGTTTAACTCGAGATTGTTCTCAAGTCATTGGGCTCTATGAGAACGTGGCATTTGTTTGTCTCGATGTTAGGTCCTCAGATTGCCAATCCCTTCAATGTTGCATCACCTTTTGGAGGTTGAATCATCGTTAGCGCAGGGTTCGTGTTGAAATTGCAATTGAAGCCCTTCTTATAGTAGCTAAGTTTACACCAGATGAAAAGAATAGTATTTCCCCAAGGAAACTATTTGCCATGCAGCCACCCGCCTATCCCAATAGAATAAGAGAGCGGGCTGGTGATGTTTCAGCCAAAACCACTTGAACAAACAGTGTTTTGCACTTACCTGTGCCTGTGCAAGCCTTGTGTGGTTGGGATGGTTGTGTATTAAGATGTTTGGGTAAGGGAGGAGCTCAGATGGGGCTTCATCCCATCCGCAGCATTCGGCCCATTAACACGCGTGTGCGTGTTTGTGTTTTGAGCATCTCAGGCTGGGCTTACCAAGAGCCAGTGGCTTTAGAGCTCGCCACCAAGAGTGCTCCGTTGAGTGTGGGCACCAGCAGTGGCTGGGTCTTGGAAATGGAGATGGAGGCACCGGAAACGCTTTTCGCGGTGGTGTTTGGGCAGATCATATTGACGCGTCAAGCATAGGACTTTCCATTGGGGGTTGGAACATGTTGAAACCAAAAACCTGACATTGTTTAGGGTTCATCGGTTGGATTGAAGGTGCTTTCAAAAAGACCAGCACATGGTCAACTGTGGCAAGTTGATTTGCTCCCGCGCAAGAACAAGAACAGTGCATTAAAGGGTTTCAAACCACACACCACAACCCGCTTGACCTGCATCAACGCTTTGTCGGGAGTGTCGTGTTGATCAAACCACTGGGTAGTTACAACCACTAAAGTTGACAGAATCAAACTCCTACAGGTCTATGATTTCGTCCACTTTTGATGCGTGCCACAGCAACTCTTGACCATAGACTTGATGTGTTTTGTTTTTATACCTGACAAAGATTTGCCACGCTTCAGTTGGATAAGCCTTTACCAACAAGATTTACATAGTTGGAAATGAAATAGGTCCCGATCTGCCCAATCCACAGATCAAGTCCGTGAATTACTCAACAAATGTGTCTCTTCTTGTTGGTGGATGTGGTGATCATGCAATACGTGCGTGCCTCGGGCCATGTGAAACACATGCAAATACCTGCACCAGCAGAAAGAACCTCACCCAGTTGTTGACGAATTGGATGAACGGAAAACAAAGTTCGACCCACCAGCTCTGTGATCCTCGCTGCACCGCTAGCTTCGTGGCGGCTGGTGGGTTCGCCCGGGAACCTGTTCAACGGTTCGGCCGCTTTCGGGCGGCCGAACCGATGGGATGGGCAGGTGGGGAGCGGAGACTTGCGGAAACGGGTGATGAGTCCAGGTCCATTGGCTTTGACCAGTGTTGGATTTGATGTACAAACAATACAAGTACATCGAATCCAGAGCATCAAATCCAGTGTTTTTGTTGAGTTTTCATGTTCTGGATTTGATGTACACCTTCGCTGCATTCGCATTGGTTGCACTAGTTAATAATGCCCACTCTTCACCCAACATCAGTTTTTCTCATACAACTCTACGGGTTTGCAAGCACAACAAGAAACACTATGCCACCATGCACTCTTCACAGTGAGGAGGACGATGAATGACGCAAGTGATTGATGGATGCCAGATTCTGCATGAAGAACATGCGAGTCATACTGAGTCATACTCCACCAATTGGTGAAGTCCCACTTGTTTTGTTGTTCATTGCATGCTGCGACTTTCAGACTCCTCTTTATGTCTTCGGAAAGGATCCGTGTTTTCCACAGCCATCCGAAGGCGACATGTGCGACCCCCTCCGCGACATGACCCATTGTTTAACGGCTGGTTCAATGAAGTGGCCCCAATTATCTGACATTACACCTATAATTATTGGTACCTCTTTAAAAAAAGGAACCATGCATGTTCTTTTTTACGAGTTTAGAGCATGCATGATTTTGCTGCACGCACTTGGTGCTTTTCACGGATCACAGAAGACCTAAAACAGCGCCCGACCTCTTCGCAACAAGGACAAGAACTTCCCTTCAGCACCACTGGACGCAGGCGCTGGCATTCTTCTGCTGTTTTCCTGGTTTTCCTCATCTTGGCGCTGCATGTTTCTTTACGGATCAGTAGGGGCACGCAGCATAGCCATATCATGGGATCATGTTCACGAGCAGACAGGTCTGTCTCCAGTCTCGGGTCCGCCGTTTGCGGGTCACTGCTGAACGGCCCCCGTCCAAAAGACACCTGTGAACCAAGCCGGACATCGCTCGGGTTGGTTGAGGGGTCGATCCGGAGAAGCGGTGTGGATGGTGTTGAAGGAGGGAGACAGCCTGGCGCGTCGAAGGTGGTATACTTACGGCCGGGGCGCAGGGGGAAGGCCGGGCGCTGCTTTGACAGCGCACGTCGTGATGTCCCGTGATGGCCCGTGGCCCGGCGAACCGGGGTCTTCGGGTTTTTGGGTGTTCCGAAGCGAAGCCAGGGAGGTTTCGCCACGCGGCTGGGAGGTCTCGCGAGGTTCATACACTCCCAGGCATTGCTTCTTTTAGGCCAAGATGAATGAGATGTACGGCCTACGTGACCACGAGTAGTACAACGAGTATTACGTATGTACACTAGTGTACCACCAAAGATGTGGATCGATGTGGAGATCGACGTTCGATGCTACCAAACTTGGGACGATACTGAAAGTCAATGAGTCCATGATTTTCACTTCAAGAATCTTCAAGATACTTCAAGCTGCACTGGACACAGTTTGTTTCTATCTATTTATGGGCCCAATCGGCGAGGTTCCAACGGCGAGGTGAGTACTTGTAGAGCAAGAGAAGAGCCGGGTTTAGACCAGGGTGTTGCTGCCTAACTGATGATACATGTAGCCTTGAAGTCTATTAAGTCTATTGAATGAAGCACCCGCAAGGTATCTGCTTCAAACAGCTGCTTCGGAAGTTTGCCGGAGGATTCTCCGCGTGGAGCGACAGAACTGGTTGTGCGTCACCTTCTCAGTGGACGCCCGACTACTGGCGCCCATTGTCTCCCTGAGCCTTGGTTGGACGGCCATGACGTGGAATGGTCGAGGAAGTGCGGGTGAGGAAGTGCAAGGCGGGTGATGAAGCATGATGAAGCAGCAAATGTATCTCATGATATCTCATTGAATGGATCGTTTTCCTTGGGATTCTAATGGGTGTTAGGCAGTGGGAAAAGGGTTCATCAGGCTCCAAGATGTGTAACTCTCCGTCCATTGATGTGGGATGATTTGCTTGCTCGGCTTTCCAAAGGCCCGATTTGAGTCCATCGAAGAAGCTAACCATGGGAAAGGACCATGGTTTGCATATGTTTGTATGGTAGGTGGTCTCAAAGGAGATCTTACTGTGGGTTGGAAGTTGGATCTATGATGATCTAGATGTAAAGCAATAACGACCAAGAATCACCAGATAGTGACCACACCATCCTGGGTAGAACGACCTTTGTGCAATTTTGTTGTGCGATCCTTTTTCCATATTTTCCTAAACGCCGGCCCCATTGTCTTCACATGTTTCAGTGCAAAGCAGTAGGTGTTGCATGGTCGATGTGTCCTCTTCTCTGAATGGGGAACTCGGACTTATCCATTAATCTAGTTAGACTTATACGATACGATATCTTATACCCAATATTTCTACCCATAGGAGAAGAGGAATGCCTTCACCTTGTGGTGAGTTGGTGCCTTGTTTGGGAGACAATTCCATCGAGGTAAATCATCTTCAATGAAGGCTTCAAGGATGGCAGATTTGCCAATCCGCTTGCGCTACTGAACATCTGACAAAAGGGCAGCCCTGTCCCTTGCAGGTGGCCCCGTTCCCCTCATGCTATGAAGTTACGGTACATAGGCTCGACGGTCCCACTACCGGAAGAAGTCGACTGAAGCCAAGCACAACTTGGGTCCCTAACTTGGCTCATACGGTCCAGCTTCTTGCGCGACATACAAATCGACGAGGAACAACATGGTACTTATGTGGTTTAGCGGAAGGGGTGTAGGCCGCTATAGGAAGCGGTAGCAGGTAGCTAGATGTAGCTAGTAGCTTAAGTAAGTTACTACCTAGAGTGCGTCAGATAGCTCAAACGCTTCTTCGAGGAAGCTTAAGCTCCGCTGAGGGGAGCTTCCTTGAAGAAGTGCTCGCACTTTTCTCTAGGCAAACTTCGGCTCCCGTGTGCCCATGGGCCTTCATGGGCCTGGCCATGAGGGAGGTCGAGCCTGGAAACATCGCACGGCCCAGGAGCGGCATCGGTTTGCTTGAAAACATGACCAGCAGTAACTTGACCGTGTGTAGCTTGGGTTGCAGATGGCGCAGGGATGCGGAGGGTGCTGCAGATGAGATGTCATATGCCATCACCGCAGAGCAAATTTGATGACTATCCCATTCAGCAGTGGTGCATCGACACCTATAATTATATAGTTATTTAGATGCAGTGCTTCATGTACACTGTTTTGATCCTACTCTCAAGTACTACTGGGATGGTTGGGAGAAAAGCATGACTCATCATCCCCATAAGCAGAGCAGGAAGTGTATTCTTCCTTGCGGACGGTTTGATGGATGGTGCATTTTCCTGCCCACCTCAAAATATGGTAATCCATGATTGTCCAAATCATCCAAATGTTGTTGGTTTGGGGATCATTATAGTTACTGCACTGTATGTTACTGTATAATATAACTGCATCCCGCATCCCCGTTATTTTTGTGAAACATGTTTCTGCTCTATTGCAATGTGGGTGAAGGACCTCCAAAAGACCTCTGAGCGTTTAGCGACATTGGTCGTAGGGAGTGAACATTTATGCAGTGGTAGTCCTGGTACTAAGTACATTTACTTTAAGATGCAATGTCCAAGAATACCATGGTGTCAATCCACGGGTTCAACGAAGACGGAAGCCAATAGAAGATGAGACCAATTTTGGATGTTCCTTTTGAAGCTTGTTCAATCGTCAAAGGTGTCTGCTTCGGATATAATTTATCGTTGCAGAGAGTCACAAAGAGTCGCAGCACCAGCGTCAACCATCGATTCCGTTCTAAGAACTGCCCTCAGATCCTCAGGTTTGGGCAAGGACAGCGAGGGCAAGGAGCAAACACTGGAACTCGAACCGTGCCCCAGTGAAGTCTCGTTTTTGAAACTGGTGAATGTTGAATGGCGCTTGTTTTCTTTTGTTCCACCGACCCTAGGTGGAAGCTGCTCCAAAAAGGAGCAGGAGTGATTCCTCATCTCTACCTCGAGGGCTACTTTACGTGCTCTCGGGTGACCCGCTCTCGACCCAGGTACCAACTTTGGAATGCTGGCATCGGTGGTGGCTATGAGGCAAGAGCGACTCTTTCGTCGATCACCTCGAGGGAAGAGCGACTCTTTCGTCGAGGACCTCGGGGCGAACGAGGTCTGAGGTCGGCAACGCATGGCAGGGGCTGCACGGACCGTCCGAAGAGCGCCCGAAGAGAAATCCGTGCATTTTGGCGAGCAATGTCTGCCATGAACATGACCCGATTGGCTGGTCCAGATCACCTGATACTGCTCCAGGAGACTTCTAGCGTTTGCAGCGTTTGCCAGAAAAAGAGCTTATAAGGGACAACAATTATGTCGGGCACGCCAGCCATAGATACAAGGAGCCAAAATAGTTTTATAAAGCAAAAAAAAGCAAAAGGCAAAGCAAACAAAAAAGCAAAAAAAATGTAGCTGTGCGCGTATTTGTCGTTTTTTTTTTGCTTTTTTTTTCGTTTTTTTCCTAGGAGGGTACAACAAAAACATATTTGTCGCTTCTTTTTCACTTTTTTTTCGCTTTATGTCTGCATGTTTTTCGCTTTATTTTCGCTTTTATTCGCTTTTTGTTTTGCTTTGTTTTTGCTTTTTGCTTTGTTTTTGCATGTTCATTTGCTTTTATTTTGCTGTTTTTTCACTTTTTTTTCACAAAAAAAACAAACTATTTGATGGTTGGCCATGTATGGCTGCCATCGCCCAACATAAGACAACAACTGCATGGCCTTATAGTTGGTTTATTGATGTTTATTGTGGTGCATTAATAGAGAGGATACCTCCAGGTGAACGTGGTATGTTGGGGTTGTGGTTGTTGTATTTGTTTTTGTTGTGTTGTTGTCGTTGTCCTTGTCATTGTCCTTGTTTTTTTTGATGTTGTCGTTGTTGTCGTCGTTGTCGTTGTCGTTGTCGTTCGTCGTCGTCGTCGTAGTTGTGGCTGCGGCTGTTGTTGTTGTTGTTGCTGTTTTATCTCAAGACTTCTGTATCTCAACCCTCGTCACTTGCAGGTCCGGCTGTTCAGGCTATTGGAGCCCCATGCAATGTCCATCCATGTCCTAACCAAGGCTAAGCAACGCCAATGACCTGGGATGAAAACAGCTGCTTTCTCAAACAGGTCACCCATATTCAATCCTTTACAAGGAGAAGAATTGACAAGAGTCACATGTGTCAGGCACCTTCCTCTTTGAAAAGGTGCTCAGTTCTTGCTTTCCGAAGGTTTCGGTATGTCATGTTTCCCTGTATTCTCCAGGATTGAATTCTCCAGTGCTCTTATTTTCAATGACGGGAAGAGTTCTTGCAACCAGTTAAGTCAATAGTCACTTTTGGAGGTGATACGACCGTCTTTCCTAGGGTGGATGGAGGTGACTCGCGGTTTTCCTGGGAGATGACCGTCTTGTTGAGACTTTTGACGGGAAGAACGCGGCCACAGGTTCAAAGCCCAAAGGCTTGGTAAGACGGTCTTTTGTGACGTGGAAGGTTTGATCTTCTTCAGACATGTTTTTGTTTGTGGTTGATGTTGACTTTTACCAGGTCATGAGCAGGGGCATAATACATCACAAACAAACAAGTGCACATGATTCTGACTACGTGTAGCCACTCTGACTCGACTCGCGATGGTCCGACAGCAGGGTGTGACTGTGTCAGGTCACATTGCCCTTGGACAAGCATGGACACTTCAAGGCGCCGGTGAGAAGCCTGATCCACAGGTGTTGTCTTCAGGAGTGTGCGATTGCTTCATGTGAGCAAGCACCAAAATGTGCAATGACTAATTTACTACAGAGTGGTCGTGATTTTCAGGAATTGTGCATGTGGCTAAAACCTGGAAGCCATAACCTGGCTGAATCATGTCCTCTACCGGACTCGACATTACGTTTTGGTAGATGCTCATGTGAAGAGACATACCCAGAAGTGTTATCAAGTGTAGTGCCTGTGAAGGTTCAGCAGTCGAGTTGTGGCATGTCGTTTTTGGCTGTGTTCTCAAGGCCAGCGTGCACGTCAGCAGGATAGAACCCCTAGCGATCCACGTACCCTCTGAGAAGGTGATTGGAGACACTGTTATGTAGGCAACAGGAGGGTCCAGTCGTACCTTCTGAGAAGGTATGTGGATCCCTGGGGAATGGATGCTGGATGCTCGATATGACATGCTCTCAAGTCCCAGGTCGCAAACGCTCCCAGATCAGCACAGTATGTTTTCCAAGAAAGAATCACCCAGAGAAAGGAAGTATAGAAAACAGGTGAATGTTCAAGTACACCATGAACACTGTACTGTACTGGTACATCATGAATACAGTATGAAAACTGGTGAGCAAGTATAGAATACACCATGAATACTGTACTTTCTCGTGCATGTTCTGTATCGTTTGCTTGGCCCAAAGTACCCACCAACAAAGACAAACCGGTCATGACATACCCAGACACTCCATGCATGGCCTATCTACATATCTTGGGGTGGTTTCAAGGTGAATGTAGGCCTATGTTCCAGTTTCATGGAGTATCATGACACAATTTGATCATATTATTATCATATTTGATGTTCCTGATGGTAGGTTGGAGGCCATTGCTCTTAGCTTGGAGGCCATTGCTTCTAGGTTGGAAGCTATGTGTTCTTGATTGTTCGAGATGCCTAAGGCTTAAGAGACTCGAGACTCGAACCATCGAAGAATCCGTCGAGGCCAAGTTGCCGACAGATTCTGACCCTTTGGACGATAAGGAGAAGCTTTTGGAGCGCTTGGCTGGCTTTCGCTTCGTGCTCCGCAAAAGCCCACTGTGTGGAAAGCTGTGTATGTTTTGTTCTTTTTTTGGATCTATGACATTGGCTCAGATGGCTATAGATGACTGAGCAGGTCAATACTCAGGTCAATTTCTGAGGATGTTTGGTATTCAAGTGAGTGCTCGGTGCGCAAGTGATAATTTTTTCCATTGGCTGCCCCTCCTCAAGCAAAATCGCTGACCATGGAAATTGATGCAACATTTTTCTGAATACAACGCACTTGAAACACATTCACGACTCTTGAGTTTCAATCACCTTGCTGGCCCTTGCTTGCTTTTGCAGGTCGGAGCTCGGATAGACCTCTTGAGTATTCACCGTATGAATTAAATAGGCACATACCAGTGCACATACTTTTTGTCGTAGGATGAGCTATTTTGTTGGCTTGGACTGGAGATCACATGTTTCTTCCCCAGAAGGTCTGTAAAAATCGTCCATCACACTGTAGGGGCCTCAACCCTGCAGATTGGGCCGCAGATGTTCTGCTTGGGATAAAGATGGGCCCAAGATGCATGGGAGTGGACATTGGAAAGCCTGCTTTGCTGTAGAATCTCGGAGACTTGTGGAGTGTGCGTTCCTGTCAAGTCCACTTCCTCAACTAGACGGAGTTTGTGATGATCTTGTCATATTTGGCCGGGGCCTGTCGGCCTCGCACGTCCACTCGGATATATAGATGGATCTTTTTCCTTCAATTTTTCCCAAGGCTCGCAATCCACCTCACCCTGCAGGGGTCCCATGGGCCAATCCAAGTTCCCAAACGCTACCAGCAATGGATCTACGTCTTCAGTTTGTGTCATCTGCGCCCGGAGCCAATCGCTCATGTTTTCAGGTACTGCTGGCGCACGAGGGACGCAAGAAGAACGAACCAAGGGATCGAGTGGTGAGGAAGGGCATGTTTGAGATGTAGAAGCCATGCATTTGGAATCATTTGGAATATGTCATAGAAGATGGTTTACTGTTTGTTTGTGGCCTTTGCAAGTGTTTCCATTTTTATAGCGTTGCAGATCTCCTCTCCAATATACACGATAGATTCACAATGATTCACATATGTCCATGTTGCATCCCAAACCTCCTGAGTTGCCCCTGGTAGCTCTGTCACCAATGGTGTGGTGTGGCCGAGTGCTTCCGCAGTGCATCCGAGACACACCCATGAACAGTCCATGGATTTGTAGTGTTGAGCTTTGACCACCAGAGTTCAAAAGGTTGGATTGTTTGATGATAGGACTTTCAATGAGGTCTCCCTGGAATGCTGGATTGGTAGATGATCATGGATCGCAGGAGTTCACTGGATTTGATTGATGATTCATGTCGGACATTCCGGATCCTTTTTTCAATCTAATATACGCTTGTTTGTTCGTCGCAAATACTACTGTAGCAGGCGTGGTTTCGCTTGGATGTTCTTTCCAGCAGCAGGCTTAGGGGGGTTGAGAACTTTGGGTTTAGGGATCATGTGAGTCAGTGCTCTCGAGTCTTGACCAAGCATGATCATGTTGCCTTCACAAGTAGGTCCATATGTGATTATATATGGCCTCTTAAAAAGGTAGGTCCAGATACCTATACTTTCTCAGTGGTTTCCGTACCTGGGTCGTCACGCCAAACCTCAGGCCTCAGGCCGCGCCGGCCGGTGTTGGCGCCGTTCACCTCGGGGCCAGGTGGTGTGCGTGCCGATGCTGTCGGTCCTGAACGCTCGGAGCCCTGGAAAGCACCACTGTGGCGAACATGAAGCATGCCGCTTTGGGTTCGAAGACGGAAGACTGTGAGCCAGAAACATGTCGGATCTTCTTTTTGGCAGAAACCACGGAGTGATCGATGATGCTTGACGTTTAGATGCACCTGTTTAACCTAAGCAGGAGGTGTGTGTAAGATTTGAAAGTGAAAGGGGAAGTGACATTGAGATGGGCCATACCCAAACCATCCGTGGGACTGCAATAGTTGCATACATTAACATACATTTCCCGTTTACCCCGTTTATGGCTCTAAATTTAACCATTCCAGTCCCATGTATCATGGATGGTTTGGGGACAGGCAATAGAAGGCACAAACAATTTGGCCTTGGTGTTCCCAAGGCCATGCTCAATTGACAGGTTAGTTTTTGTGGATTTTGGAACCACGGATCTTACAGGTGTTCCAAGTTTTTTGATATCTACATATATCTACTATCTACTGTGCTGAAGCCTCTTCTTTGGCAGGACAGATTCCTAAAGAAACATCTACAGGACCATCATGGGACATCCAATGATTCCATCATTTGAGGACATAAAGATACATAAAGATCATTCCACCATTTGAGGGGTGATTCCACCATTTGGGGGTGAAGAAGGGGGGTGGACCATCCAATGATTCCACCAAACGGATCACCCCCCCCCTTCTTCAAGGTCTCCAAACGAGATCGCCTGGATCACGAGCCATAGAGATCGCCTCGACCTGTCAGGCCTTGCCTTGTGAGTTCGAGTGCTCCGTGAAGAATGTGAGGACGAGCCACATGCCACATCTTCCCCCAACCAGGGGGCGAATGTTTTTGATTCCCCACATGGACGTGTGGGGTTGGTGTTTTTAGTGCTGTATCCGCTCCTGTGTCTGGTGAAGTTGTTTATATGTTTGAGGTTATCCGGTCCTATATTATCCGTTGCGGCACTTGGTACAGGTTACCGTCATGTTCCATTGGAATTCTGCTGTTCAAAATTCGTGTGGTTTGGAGTTTGGAGGCCCGCCCCTCTGGCCGGGCATTGTTTACGAACTGCCCGAGGTTTTGCCGGTTCAGGGGCTCGAGGTTTGCACCCATGGATTGGTGGCTCGATAGCTGGGAACCCTCCAAGTAAAGGAATCTTACAGTTGTTGATCCGTGTTGGAACTGTAACTACTGAGACTCTGTCAAAGCTCAATTTATATATGGACTAGTTCTTCAGTAAGCAGTAAACAGCATAGCCAATACTTTTTGTTGCCCGTGTTTTCTTTGGGGCATCTCTTTGTGTTTCTCGCTTTCAGGTGATATTCGCCACCTCGCTTTCCACGACACGTTTCGCAGGAATGTGCCACACCAGTTCCTGATGTTGAGTGATGCCAAGCAGGGACCCTCAGACTAAGAACGGATGAGACGGAGAGAGGTGAGAGACGGAGAGTGGTGAGACCTCCCGGGAATCTTCGGCCAAAAGGGCTGGGTGTGAGGTGAGACTCCCTCGATGGGAGGGTGAGAAGGGCATCAGAATTTGACTCATCAGGGCAATACACCTGCATAATGTTATATAAGTGTTGGATTTCACAATGAAGCACCTGAGCTCAGTGGAGAACTGTCCAAGCAATCAAACACTGAGTTGGTGCGATGGAGTCTAAACCTCTTTTGCGCATTGGTGCAGTCGGCTGGAGTTGTTCTTCCTTGTATCATTGGTTCGGCACATTGACAATTTGGAAGACTTGCTTGAGGCTATGTTCCCGCATGTGCAATGCCCCGGCACTCCATGTAAAAAAACATAGTTATATATATACCAGGACCTTCAAGGGGTGGTTAATGCACACCCCTTAACGGCTAAGGGGCTATAAATAGACACCCCTTGGAGGGTCCTGGTATAGCTACATTGACGTCTGACACCGAGGTATTCCAGTTCCATGGAGGTGCTTCGAGTCTGTGATCCCTACGCCCAGTCTAACCGAAAGGTCCGGGTTCCTGGACCTGGACCGGTCCAAAGCTCGAAACCTGCAGAGTGTTGACTCGCCAACGAGTTACATGTCATGAGGTCAGTTCCCTACCAGGAGTTGCATGCCAGGGGGTGGTGTTCGTGGATCCTTTGGCCCCCCCGCCACCCCGATCCGTCACCGATCCGTGAACGGGAACACGTCGGACCAGGAGCGATGGCGACCGCACGTGGAGCACCGTGGTGCGCTGTTGCGGCCCACGAACGGACCGGCCAAGCGCTGACTTCCCTGAGCCAGAGCCACTCGGAGAAAACGATGTGCGTGGAGCACCGGGCTGCGGCTAGCCATTTGGGTTTGGGGGGGCTGAAAGTCATAATGGTTAATTTGTATTAGCCAGGTCATCCTTAATGATATAATTGTTGTTTTTGTCCAGAACATCCAGATCAATTTGAGAGTGTCAGACCATGTCAGACCTTTGCAATTGTTGTTGGAAGACGGTCAATCACTACTGTGTACATATGGTGATGTTGTTGATGTTTGGGAGGCATGATGTGTCCAAATCAATGGGTTTAGGGTATGATTTGCAACAAACATCAGGGGTGAATCCGACAACAACCTGGCAGGTCATCCATGATTGATTGGACACACGGCCACTGGCTTCTCTTTTTTTCAGCAGAGGCCGCCACAGTCTGGTCGGCATGAAGCGGTCATTCAGGAGGCGCTCTTGAGCAGTTGGCAGTGTTTGGAGATCCTTTTGGGTCCAAAATCGGATAGCTAGAAGCTACTCGTAACAAGGGCATCACTACTATAGTAACAAGGGCATCGCTACTAGTAACAAGGGCACTACTACTAGCAGCCGATGCCATTCAAACAGTCAGCATCCTGCATCCGTTGAGTCACTGCCTTTCGAAGGTTCAGCCTTTGAGCGTCGCAGATCATTTGAGCGTCGCAGATCACATAGCGATTCATCAGCAGGGATGGGCAGTGAAGCACGATCACTCAGTAGATTACAGGAGTCCCAAGATATCAGGAACTTGGGATTTTTTGGTCATTCGGGTCTCTATTGTAGGTGGGCTTATTGTACATGTACTGTATATACTATCGTTTTATACATATATGCACGCATACATAGAATTGTATAGAATTCAAACATAGAACCTTTCTGCTGGCGAATCCCAGACCCCGCGGTTTCAGAATCTCGCTGCCACTTGCCAGGCCGACACAGCGGAGGCCCACACACAGGCAGATCGGTGGGGATGGTTGACCTCAGAGGGATCGAGGGATGGTTGACATCAGGTGTTTCGCTGTTTGAGGAGGGTTTCACCATGATTTCAGGGAGTTTGGGTGGGGAATCTATGAAGTCGGATGGCATAGGAAGAGTTTACTTACAGTATATATATATATATATATCTTACTTTTCCTTACTGTTGGTGAAAGGTGAACGGGAGGTTCGTTGGTGAAAGGTGAGCCATTTCCTGACGTTTGGTGGATTGTGGTCAGCTATGGGACTTCTTAAAACAACCAAACTCCGGTCGGGAACCGAGTGAATGATGGCAACAGTGAAAGATCTGGGAACATTGAGCAGTATTGAGCTGGGAGCCGGGAAGATTTGGGCATGACAAGACACTTGATTGGGCCATGGATGAAGCGACTCTTCAGTGGATGGACCGTCCTACGCGCCTCGTTGACCTGAACGAACTGAATCTTCAATCCCAGTACCGTCCCAGTGGGGTGCAGTCCCAAGACCTATTTTGTTTTTTTGGTGTATGGGGACTGGGGGTGTTGGAAGGCTGCGGATGTGGCTTGCTGACCTGCCAGCATGCTTAGGGTGCAAGAAGAGGGACCCCGATCTAATCCCCACTATTACATCATGACACAAATCAATGCTAAATTAGACAGGTTTGGCTCAAGATTGAGAGCACCCCGATGTTTCGGACCAAACACCAAGACAGATTCATTCAGCTTTCACAAAAAGTGATCTCCCTGTCTCCTTCTTTAAGTGTTACCTGCGCAAAAAAATGGAGCACCACTTCCCCCCCAACGAACACGCAACATGCCTGGCCTACGCCTACACCTACGCTACTTTGCCTTGATCCGCCAGTCTTTGACTCCGGGTCAACGCTTGGGCTTCAAAGACGTCGGGTCACCCGGGAAGGTCGGCACTCTGTGAGATGTGGAGAAATGGCGTTCATTTTGGAGAAAGTCACGCACAACGACAAGCCAAGCAGAGAGATGTCATTTAGTTCATGATGTGTTCTGTCTTTTTCGTTTTGGAGAACATGAACAGCCAACAACAAGGGTTTTTCCTCGTGTGTTGTTCGTTGTGTTCTCGGGAAAGCTGGAAGCTACAGACAGACAGTATGCTCAGATCTTTAGGATCTTTCAACAGTTTATATACCCAACAAGAAAGGTTCTTTTCTTAAGATGAAGGGTACCTCTCCAAGCCCTCATGGAAAGGAAATGGTGCGAACTCCTGGCGTAGGTCTACGTGCGAACTCCTACACGAACCTGGTTCGGAATCTTCTTGAGATTCCAGGGTTATGAATTTCCTTCTTTCTAGTTTGATGACATGGGATATTTCATGCGATTTCAATATATTCTTTATATACATGTTACTGTATTAGCATGTATTATCATATAATATGTTCAACTAGCCCTGCTGACACAGGAACTATAGTCCTATAATAATGATATAGTCCTCTTTTGGATCGGACATGTGCTACTTCATGATTCAAAAACACAATGTTAGCTTGGTCAAATTGTGGGAAGCACACACTGTGATTTTGTAATGGATTGTGCAACACCCAAGTGCCCGGTTCGTTGGTTAATCAATCAATTTGCATTCACCCTATACCAGCAGAAAAGACCATTTCACTCACATCATCAGTGGATCGTGGATCCCTATGGTATCGGGCAAGCATGCCATCTAACTTCTTTGAATGAAACAACAAGAAGCTACTAGGAACAAAGGGAATCGCTACTACGAGCAAGGACGCTACTACTAGCTCCTGGCATTACTACTAGTAACAAGAAGCTACGAACGGAACAAAGGGGATCGCTACTACTAGTCGCCTCCCCACCGATCGAACGACCGGACCCGAACGGTGACGGATGATGTCCGAGCGTCTGAGACATTTGAGACACCCAGCTGATGAGGTGGATCCCGATTTGCAAGTGGAAGTGGTGGTGCGGATGGCGGGCTTCACCTATCGAGCCTTTGTCGTCCTCCCCAGTGGGGATGGGACCGATCCGTGATCCGGGGGACCCCAAAAGTGGAGCTCTTCCCCAAGTCACTTGGAAGAGTCACTTGGAAGTGGATGCTACTCCACTCTACAGCCAAATTCTTTCGACTTTTAGCTGATCTTCACAAAACAAGATGGAAAACGGTCAGCTGAGTTGATCGTAGGATCAGAGTAAACAGCAAACTAACAAACGCGTTCCCACGATAGTTTGGTTTTGCAACATCTAATATATTTGTTTGCACAACTCTTGGTGCACAAATTAGCCCTACAATATCCAATGACAACACATACAGTATAAACTGAGCCAATTGAACCCTTGGTGCATTGCCACCCTCACATCTGTAGTCCAGGAGGAGTTCACACCCCTTGTGAGAAGCAAGTCGGGGGCATTAAAATCCATGCGATTGAGTCTGGTTTCGGGTCTACGCTCCTGGCATTGCTCGAAAGTCAAAAGAACCTGCGGCTCCGCAGGTCCAATCGATTAACATCAACCATAACCATATTAAATACCACCTCTAAATTTGGATCGGAACCTCTTCAGGCCTGGAGTCTTTTAATCCAGATTCTAACCATTAGGGTTTGGTGTATGAATTTGGCTGGACTCCCTGGTCCGAGGCTTGGGCCTCAAAAAGCTCTTGGCGCGGCGCTCCATGCTCCATCCAACCAACCTAGTAGTGACGGCGTCCAACCTAGAAGCAATGGCGTCCAACCTAAAAGCGATGGCCTCCAACCTACTAGCGATGGCCTCCAACCTACTAGCGATGGGCTCCTAACTAGAATGCTCCATGCTTCCTCGTTGAGTGGAATCTTTCTCCGATGTTCTCCTCTCAGGTCCCTGCCAAGTGCTTGAAATCCAAGAATGCGGTCATGCGGGCGTGCTCAGACAACGCGCCGTGCCCTTAACCCGAAAAGGTGGGTGGAAGGAGGATGGACCGACATGAAGCCAGACTGGCCAGTTCATGTTGTGAAACAAAGGGTTTACCATGCAGGAAGAACTGAGATTGTCCTCACGTGTTTGCAAATGACCACCACAATAACAGTTGTTTTTCCACCTGGATTTGCTTCAGATCGGGCTGGGCACTGATTTGGAGACTTTTGGAGTCTATACGGTATAGAATTGGGCAACAGCTCCTGCTTTGGATGAGCTTCGACAGGGACTTCTGTATGTCAGCGGGCTTGTCAGTTCGGCCGGGTTGCACGAACCATGCATTGGCATGCATTGAATAAACATGTGTCAACGTGGCACGAACATCGATACCCAGTTGAACATGGAAACAGGTCTGTTGGGCTGCAAAAAAGACCTCGCCAGTGGCCGGCGATTCATGGCCTCGAGAGGAACCACAGTAAAACTCCAAAGTATTATTAAACCATGCTTCCAATGGGTGTCCATCCTAATGGAGACTTAAAAGTAGCGTAGGGTTGTTGATTGGTGACCGCTTGAAAGCTGGTACAACTGAACATCCGGAAAGACCTCAACACAAAAACAGGGCCTGCACGCCTCACACCTCCTCGCTTGAACACCTCACACCTACGCAGCACCGTGCGACGGCGGCAGGCACCTGCACTTCGACCTCTCAGCTCGTAGTCTTTGCCTCATCGCCGCATGGGGTCCCAGGGAGCTAAACCTTTCGCGCGGGACCCCCGCGGTCCGCGGCGTGCCCGCGGAGTGTGGCGGCAAATGGAGTGCCAAAACGAAAAGCAAGTGGCATTGTTTGGGGTGTGTGTGAAAAGCCCTGAATCGGCCATACGGATCACAAGGAGGGAACAGTCGGCCGACGGGAACCAGAAAAAGAACGATGAAGTCTCTTCACCGAGTGATCGATGAAGATCAAACAGCTTGGCTTTTCTTTGGTAGCGATTGGTTGGGATCATTTGGTTGCGATCTCAAGAGCATCGTTTTGAAAGGAAGTATGTGTTTTGTGGGAGGACCGGATCTGCTAAACAGATGAATTTATTCCTCCCCACTCCCATAAGCAAGGTATCAAGATATGTATCAAGAATCATTTCCGCTGTTGATGCTTGAGGGGGGATGAACATGGATGTTCTTGCACATTTGCTTTCGGGGTTCACGGAATTTGGACTGTACCTTGCATGCATGAAGGGAGGCACTGAGTCTTCAATAGTAGCGTATATTGTATGTATCGTTATAAGTTATATATAACTTTATATCCACTGCAGTAGATCTAAAACAACACATCTGAGATGAGAGTTATCACGGACAAAGGCTTTAGAGTTTAAAGACCAAAACTGGCTCCCGAAAACACCCTTTAGAGTTTAAGGCTATTCTGATCGACTGACTTGTTTTACACCCATGAGAAGATATGTGACAACATGGGGCTGCTTGACCAGCCACTTCTACTTCTAAGTATGTGTTACTTTGATGTGCCAGTGTACCCTCATCCCCTCAAACAAGTGAGGCTGTCTAAAGTCAAAGCTCCGCAACGCAATTCCAGGGAGCAACCAGTGGTTTAGTGGTTGCATTACAATGCCAAAACATCCTTGTAACATGATTCAGACCACCAAATGATTCGTTTAAGGGTTACCAATGCCAGGATTCCCGCGGGCTAACCCCTAGATTGCTTAGGCAATATTCTGCAGTACATTCAATAAGTAGTTTGATAATATATCAACCAAAAGTCTCTGAATATTCCAAAAACAACAACTAAGATCAATTAAGATGTTTGACTTTGTTTCACCCAATGTGTGGCGGGTGTTACTTAAAACATCTTAAAACCAAGACCTGTGAGAAACAAACAATACCCAAACAAGCGAGACCAAGTGAGTCATACACATGTTCTATCTACACCAGTTTTTCTGCGTATACAGCATGCATATACCGAAAAACAACACAACGGAACAATCACATTAAAAAGAACACGTGTGTGTAGTTTTTTGTGGTCTTTTGCTTTCCCACACGCAAAAGAGAACACATGCTCCGTCCTTTTCCTCGCCTCGTGGAGCGAAAAAGGAGGACTCCGCGGCTCCACCGTTGGCCATGGATTTGGAGCGACGTGGCGGGCTGGGCCGTTAGCGAAGGAAAAGAATGCTGAAACGGCTGAACACTGGAAGTGTTCAACAGGAACTGATACAAAAGACCTTGTTTTTCTTTTCGTGGAGTTTTTTCATGTCTTCGCAGATGGTTTGGATCGGCTGGGAACGATAGGAATGTGAACAGTCGTTTCGATCGTGTGGACCATCACCTTACTGGAAGCCGTCGGGGGAAACACAAAGTTTCTGAACCTTCACAGACAAAGTTTTGGTTGTTGTCAATTTAGTTTGTTTTGGTTTGATTTGGTTTGTTTGTTTGTTTGTCACATTCTATGGTTTTGATATTGTGAGATTGCTTTAAGTTGTGAATTGCTTTCGAGTGACATCATGTTTGCTTTCCCGGCCTGTTTCAGGTAGCGGTTATTTGTCGAAACATGCCTGATGGTTGGGTTTTAAGAAAAGACAAGTCGGATCCAAACCTGAAGTTCCAAAGTGAAAATGGTAAAGTATCCATTCGATGCAAATAATATGAACCATGAGAAGTACGTTTTTTGGTACAGTGATTAGATTACTGAAACTTTCAGATGTTCGGTTCGGAATTGGGTGATGTTGGTGGTCCTGGAGCCATTTGTAATTTATTGCACGTTCTTCCGCATCCAAGGACCCTCCGAACTGCATCCCAAAGATCGGGAGTTGGCACGAATCCATGCATGTTTGCCCTTTCGGCATCAGCTTAGGTTGAACTTAGCTTCAAGTCATGGGCTCCACCCATGCAGCACCCACACGCAAGATGGCAAGACCTGCTAAGACCATCTAAGACTCAAGACTCATAGAACCTCATAGAGGGCCTGTAGACAACCTTGGTTGGTTGATTAATAGATGGGAATAGGCATAGGCATGATTAAGTATATACATATGGTACCAATTTGTATAATTATAGCGATGGCCTCCAACCTACTAGCAATGGCCTCCAACCTAATAGCGATGGTCCCCAGCCTACTAGCGATGGTACTAGCGATGGCCTCCAACCTAATATTGATGATCACATTCACCCCGCACATAATATATAATTCCCCAAAGGGTATCATTCTAAGACCCGTCTTTGGGCGCAGTGCCAAAGAAGTGCGGAAGTGGGTGACTTTCCACACATCGCAGGAGTGGGAGATGCACGGCGCAGTATTTTTGGTCTACAGCCGTCCCCTGGTGCAAGCTGGTGCGAAAGATTCAGCCTGGGAGGGACGGATTTCCAAACGACTACCGCACGTCATACGATGCCATGTGTCTGATGTGAACAGTGTGAAGGACAGCTCTTCTGGTGAGCATAGTGCAAGCAAAGTTTGGGTCCGACAAGACCATCCATTCTGAACCACAATCCTGCTTGGGGCTCTCCTGCCGTGGGTTTCTACGGGAGTTGCAGCTTTGAAGAGATCTTAACAACCTTATGTGTAAGCAATATGGTATGCAATATGGTGTAAGCAATATGGGTGCATTATTTACAGCCTTCGGCATGCCGCCGGCCATCAGCTCGAGCCCGCACGGCTGGTCGCCATGGCCCGGGCGTGTGTAGCTGTGTGTAGCTATTGTGTTTTTTTGTGTGCAGGTTATGCAAAGGTCAGCTAACAGAGTGTACGATATCAAAGTGCGTGAAAACAAGGGGTTTGTGCGCGACATGACTTGGAACATGCACGCTGGCTGGAGATGTTTGTGTCAATGAGGTGCGGCGTCAAAACGAAGTAGTGTAAGAGCCATGTAAGTGGAGAGCAACTGGCCAAAAACAAAAGCTGCGCTGGTGTAAAAGCGAGTGGGCAGCGAACAGTACTTGCAGAGAGCGCGTGTGTAACACAGAGCTTCTGCAAAAGTGACATGTAAGCGAAAAAAAGTAGCGAGGAAATGGTTGCAAGGGGCTTGTGCGCGACATGACTTGGAAGGTGCACAGGTTGCGGTGTCAGAACGAAGTCGTGTAAGAGCCATTGCCTAGAATAACGCCGTGACAGTGTAAGCGATATAGGACCCAATTGGCAGCGAGTTCCCGCAAAACGCGTGGAAAAACCCAGGTTTTTATACGTTTTTCTACACGCGCGACTGTGCGCCAATGCATGGCCTGCTTGAAAAAGACGAAGAGGGGGAAGAGAAGCGAAGGAGAACGAGAACGAAAAGAGAAGAGAAGTGAAGACAAGAGACGAGACAAGGCGACAAGACAAGACAAGGCGAGAGGGGGGTAGGAGCGCCTCAACATTAAAAGACGAAAAATGAGTTGGGAAGATGATTTTCATTACTAAAAGTACGAGCACCTCAACATTAAAAGAAGAAAATGAGTTGGGAAGATGATTTTATTTACTAAAAGTACGAGCACCTCAACATGAAAAGAAGAAAAATAAGTTAGGAAGATGATTTTATTTACTAAAAGTACGAGCACCTCAACATTAAAAGAAGAAAAATGAGTTGGGAAGATGATTTTCATTACTAAAAGTAGGAGCGCCTCAACATTAAAAGACGAGAAATGAGTTGGGAAGATGATTTTCATTACTAAAAGTACGAGCACCTCAACATTAAAAGAAGAAAAATGAGTTGGGGAGATGATTTTCTTTATTAAAAGTACGAGCACCTCAGCATTAAAAGAAGAAAAATGAGTTGGGAAGATGATTTTCTTTACTAAAGGGGGGGGGAGGGGCTGAAAGAGTGACTAGGGCGTACACGGTAGAGGTGCAGACCGCTAGTGTCTTTTATGCGCAGAGTCTTATCCTCTTGCTCTTTGAGCCTTGAAGCAGTCAAGCATGGACACACTATATCAGCTGTTGGAGTGGAACCCTGTACAGGTAGGCTCTACTTTTCAGCAGGCACAAGATTCATGTCCACTTCTAGCTGATTGCGTATGTCGCATACTCTTTTTCTACTGCAAGGCTAAAACAGTCCAGCTAGCTCTGACAACTTAAAGAAAACTACGGTGCCATGTACTTACCTAATCCAGTGTGTTTCACACTTCAGAGAAGGTAATCTCATAGCTACTAAATACAGTGAGGGAGCAATAGCTGACTCACCTCAAGTACAAAATCAAAACGATAATGTACCTCGGCTGGAGACTGTACTTTTCGCAGGCGAAGATACCATGTACCGGCGCTCACTAGCTCTTTAGGGCCTGAGCTAAATCAAACTAAAAAGGGAAAGCGGCTTTTTCTCTACAGAGACCTATAAAAGAATCAAACGACACTCGCGTAACAAAGAACTAAAAATTCAAGACCGCACAAATTGCAATGAATTAAGATGCCTTGCAAAATGCAAGGAGCGTACGGTCCGAGGAATAATCTTCTCGTGACGTGGTCTCGACCGCTTTCATTCACAGACAAAATAAACTGCATCAAAAGGACTCTCTTTCACATTCACATCAAAACACAAGAAGGAGATACCGGCAAATGTATGTACAAAAATCTTGCACTACAATTGCAAATCATGAAATGACTTAATCATCAACCATGACTGGTTGTCCATTAGAGGTCACTTCATAAGAGCGGTGGTGATAGATATCATCAGTTCTGTAAAACTGTCCATACCTATCTACATGCTAAAGCATATAAACCTGGAATGCAGGAGTATCTTCTTTGATAAAAAGTTTCTCC